TGTTTATAGATGCATTTATATTTTTTAAATCTCTATAACATAATATTTTTTCTAATAATCTAATTTGCAATATTATATTATTGAAATATGGTCAACATATTGTATTATGTAATTAATATTGTAGTTTCGTCAGCTTCGGATGATGATGATGATGATGTATAGCTACATATAATAATTAATAGATATTGTGTTAATGATTAATAAAAATATATGTACCCTTACAAATTATAAATTATATAACAAAAAATCACCTTAACTTTGTTCTTATAGTGTTGATGTTTTTAATTTCATATCTTTTAGAACAATATAAAGCTAAAGCACCACTTGGACCGAAAATAAAAAGTTGCAATAAATAACCTTTCAGATTGTTGGTGAATTTATGACCACCTTCAGCTACAAATACCCAATATGACATTCCAGTAATAGTCACCCATGAATTTATGATCATAAAATTGATTGATGGACTACTTCCGCCACTAATACATAATAATGTTAGCTCATATATACGTTGAAATTTATTATCAACGGCTAGAATAAAAATTAGAAAAAAGAATAATTAATTAATATTTTTTGATATTAAAAAATTATTACTTTATAAATATATGTACCGTATAGTAAGAATAACATCCATTGATATATAGAAACTCCAAATAATATTTTATAATAATAAGATGCAAGCTTATATCCACTTTTTGTTGAACTATTATTATTATCAATAGTTTTTGATTTATGATTCCAAAATATTGGTGCTAATAATGGTGCAAACTATAAAAAAATAAAAATTTATCGGTTAATTAATTTGATATTTGATAATTATTGAAGATTAAATAGTTTAAATATTTTAAATACATTTGATTTTTACCAAAAATAATATTGTAACATAAGCTTGAAGTTTCTCATTTTTAATAGTAACCATTGCCGTCATAAAAAACATTGCAAATCCAAAAATTGAATAAAATATAGCATTAACACGACCAGGATTTAATAGGAACATTCCATCATAATATTGTTGAGTTGTCACTATTCCTTCTCTATCATTATTAATTTGAATTTCTTTTCGTTTTTCAGAAATTATCCAAGCTGGAACCCTTCAAACAAAAAAAAATTATAATCATGCTATGTTAATCTTTGATTTTTTAAAAAATCCCACACAATAATATCTTTAACAAAATATTATTAAATATTATACCATATTATTGTAATTGCCATAGAAATTCCCAAGAATTGTGTTAATAATGCAATTATAAAATAATTTGTTACTAAACCTCTAACACCAGGAATTGACGCTTCTAATGCAACAGTAAATAATACGGTAATAACTAATGGGAAAAATGTATTAATTATTAAAATTGAACTTGAATCTTTAATAAAATCTCTAATTAACAATGGAGGAAAGAAAATAACTTTTTAGTAATTAATATAATTAATATTTAAAAATCAATATATGATATTAATATATAGAAGAAATCTTACTGATAAAATGGCACCAAGAAATTTAGTAAATTATCAAGTCCAGGAATACTAGTATATCTTACCATTGGATTTAATAATCCTGGTAGAAAATCATCAAAATTTGAACTTTGAGGAAATAATAATAATAATCCAAAAATACTAGGAATTACTTGATGTATTTTTCCTAATGTCATGCTTTTTATTCTTTGAAGAATTTGAATAAAAAAAGAAAGAGTGGAAAAAGATTGTGAAAATATTTTCGTACATATCAAAGTATATTTATAGATTACAAGTTAGAGTTTTTGATTTATTTATTAAACTTTATAGTAATAGTAACGAGCGTAATATTAGTATATAAGGATCGACATCTAAAATAACACACAAATGGCTGTGTCCGACTTATCAAGTGATCCCGATTTATCAAAATAAATAAAAAAGAAAATCGTGTTTAAATCGTTTATAATGATTGAAAAAATAATTATTTAATAAAACAGATAGAAGACAAAACAAAAAAATCACCATTTTTTATCTAAATAAATATTCATACTAGTTTGTGCTAAAGAATTATTTTGTTTTCTATTAATTTCTTTTAATCCTGAAATAAATGAACTATATATTTACTTGTATATCATTATTCTATTGCAAGTAATTATATAGATTTTGAATGCTTTCTAAAGTGATTTTTTTAGGGCCAATATCTTCTTCTTCAGGTGTTTCTTGAACTGCTGCAATAATTTCATCATCATCAAGCATTTTAGTTCCTAATTAGAATCAATCTCATTGTAACTTCTTGCTGTAATAATATTATCATCATTATTAACATTGATTTGATCAATAAGTAATTGTAATTCATCTATTTCAGGATTAACTTTCATAGTAATAGGTCAGTCAACTTCTTCATTATCAGGTTGAAATATCTGTTTTTTTTCCAACATCTATAAATCACATCATCAACTACATTTTCCCACCTTTTGCACTTCAATCAATTGCATTCAAATGTTTAAAATTGAAATTGGGTTTCACATTCTTGTGAGATTGTAAATCGTGGACCAACCAATTGACCGTTAATATTGACCAATTAGAACGAATTTACTACGAAAGTCATGTGATGCGCTAAATATTACATCACGATTATGATCATCTTTCTATATTTATTGTAACGGTTGCGCCACACATTGTGCCACATTATACATGTAGATCATTACATCATTTCTATATTTAACTTATCTTTATGACATAATTAATTACTTCGAATTATTAATCAAATTATTTGTATTAATGACTCATAGGATTAGTAATTATGAGTCAGAGAATTAGTAATTAGCGATTAGTAAGCTAGTAATACAGAAAATAGGATTAATAAGCATATTTTATTGGATAAAATAGAATTTAAGTCATGTTATTTGTAATACCTCAAGAGGTATAAAAAGGCTTGGTTTTAGACCAAGTGAAAAAAAAGTGGATCATATTAATAACATTTAAATAATTGAATAAATAATTATTTATTTTATTTTTTTATTTTTTTATTTTTTTTTTCGTTTTCTCCCCCCCATTGTTAATAATTTAATAAACACATTTTACCTTATTACAAATTTTTGCATAGTTAACAGGAAAAGCCATTGTGAATTGTTCCATGGTCCTCTCTGATGATTAGTGGTTGGCCACTAATCATTAGTTAGAAACCCCCATTTGATTGTTCTATGCTGCTTGTAGGGATGCCTCAAGTGGTATAGTTGTAAATATTTCTTGTATATATTCTTTTTATTTTACTTATCTTAGGCTTTGCCAACAGTACTTCTTATTAGTACTGTAGAAAGAGAATTGCACAATAGAGAATTGGGTAGGCTCTGATCTGTGTGCAAAACAGAGGCTGATAATAGAATAGGCTCCTAGCTGTGTGCAGAACAGAGGCCTGGGAATTTGAGAACCCTTAGCTGTGTACAAAAATAGGGAGATTTATATATTGGACTTTTATATTTTATATTTTATTTTATATTTATTGGAAGCATAATGGACACTCATTTTGTGCAACAATCATTTGTATAATAGGCAGGTGGTTACACAGAGCTAAGGTTGCTTGCCAAAACTCATCCAGAAATCAATCAGCAGGGTTTTGGCAGGTTACACATTAATTGTTTATTAGAGTTTCAGCAGAGTTTCGCATTTTGAGGTTTTGCCTTTCGGCATAGTTTCAACAGGATTTTTGATAAGATTTAATATAGTTTTGCCATGGTTTCAGCAATTACTAAGGAGGTTTTGCCCACAACCTTAGTAGGAACACATGTAGGAACACATGTTAACATTGCAGCATGGATGATATGACAATAAACACGTCCGCGTGTGAAAAAAAAGGAAAGACATATGGTGTAAAAATAAACATGTATGTGTTCTTAACAATTTCGAACACGTTGATTGACAGCAACAACAAATCAATGATGGGTGTAGGAACACACGTTAACATTGAAGCATGGATGACATGACAATAAACATATCCACGTAGCATTAAAAAAAAGAAAGATGTATGGTGTAAAAATAAACACATAGTTGCATACATGTTCTTAACAATTTAGAACACATTGAATGTTCACCAATGATTTCGTAACAAACATGTTGATTGATCAATTAGTTTAAAAGTTGGTTGTTAAGTAATTTCCGGCCAATTAAAATCATTAAAAAATTTTTGTAATTTTGGTTTTTCTTATCCGATGATTCTTGACGTTTTTGATGAGCATACCAGTACACAAAAAAATAGATAATAATAATAATTAGATACATGTGAAATTTCTGACATTCTAATACGTGTTAATTATTTATTCAAATTTTAAAATTAATTTGTGGCTGTGGAAAAAAAAGTAAACAAGTTTTCACAGATCACAAACTTATAAAAAATCACCTATTACCATATAAATGAACTACGCTCCATTCTATTCTCTCCTCTTCTCTGCGAGTTTATAAGAAATTAACCTCTGCCGTACGACTCTAACATGCGAAAATAAGAAAAAACTGCAAATCTGATTAAAATATGGAAACGATTTCAAAAATTGCAAAAAAAAATTACGAGTTTTGGCAAGCAATAGTGACACGACAAGCATTCAATCTTTTATTTGTGTTAATAATATAGCTTAGTGTAGTAAATATGATTATAGAGCTCTTGCAAAATAAATTTAGGACTTTTTCCGTGATTTATTTGCGGGATCGTCAATTAGGGAAAATTTCATGAAAAAAAATGTTAGTAACGGTAATACGCGTTAAAAATAAATCACGTGTATAGATTTTTGTTGGTATTGGACGATTAGTTTAGTCGTATTTTAATTTACTGGCATGTCTCCATAATTGATTATTTCACATTCTCTTATTTGATCTGCAGCTCATAGATATATTTTATTATACAAAGATTACCATATGTGTAAATGGTTTTTCTATACACAGAAATTTTTTACAGTATTAAAAAAATATATAAATAAATATATATATATATATATACACACTTGCTCGTTCACTCACTCTTTGCTCTCACAGACAATGTTCACTCATGATAATTAGCTGATTTATTTTTTATGAGGCTCGTTTTCATCAACTTTAAAATCAGTGGTATAGTGTACGTTATGTTGAGATTCTTCTTCTTGATAATGCTGATGGACTTCTTGATGACTGGTTAACATTGGTTCGGTTTCTTCATGTCTTGATTGGATTCCAGATGTACCACCATCACTGGTAGTGAATACAGATTCCATAACAACCACTGTATCCTCATTATTTAAATTATTATTGTTATTTTTATAGTTATCATTATCATCATCATCATCTTTAAAAAATTTTCTTCTTGTTTCTTCTTTCATTTCCTTTTTTTTCATATCTTGATGTTTGTTAAATCGGAAAACTCTTCCCAAAACACTATCAAATAATGCAACTGAAGATGTAATTAATGTAAGGATCGGAATAACTTCGGCGGTTTCAGTAGAATATTTTTGATAAATCGACTACAAAAATAAATAAATAAATAAATATATAGATAGTGAGATTAATTCATTATAAATCAATTGATTTTAATTAATTCAACTATTAAATAATTTGATTTACCAGAATGATAAATTGAGGTGCATCTTCAATAAACAAATTGATTGTTCCACTCCAAAATATTAAACTTATAGAATGATCAGAAATTGGTGCAGAAAATAATTTAAACCCTGTAACTTTTGATGATAAAATTCCTAATATTTCCGCATCAATTCCTGCAATCACGATTAAAGATGTAGCACCAAATGATACTTTTTTAAACCATTCTTTAAATGTAGGGTTGTGTATAATCTCTTTTATTATTATACCATATGATGCAATACAATTAAATAATCCTGACAATATAATTATTCCAAGACTAAAAATATGAAATATCAATTAATTAATATCGTTAATCATACATAATAAAAATACTAATTATATATTTTTATTATTACCTTGTCCAAAATATAAAAGGAAACTTGGTTGAATAAACAATTAAAAATGCTAAATCAAAAATAAAATCAACTATTATCACCGTAATTTTAATAATTGTAAATTTTTTTCCCTATAAATAAATAAATAAATAAATAAATAAATGTTATAATGATAATAGTGATAATAACACATTATAAATACAATGATATTTACCCCTTTATGCCTTCTAAATGCTAAATATATCATGATACTTACTGCAAGTAATCCAAATAAGGCGATAAACCCTTTAAATCCAACTCTACTAAACGAAATTCCTTTAGGAATTTCTAATTTCAAGAAAACAAATAAAAATATTAATAAACTAACTTCTAAATAACAAATTAAATAATAACAATTGCTATTTATTATTAAATTAACCTTGAACACCATAAGTAGTGTCAAGAAAGTCTAGATAAGTATCGCCGGAAATGTTGGTGTATTGTTTATTAGTAATCATTGTATTCATATCAGAAAGCAATCTTTTTGCACTTCTTTCTTTATCGTTTTCAGTTGCTGCAATTATAAACGTTATTAAGACTTGTGGATGTGTAATGCTGCTGGAGTCAATTTGAGTTTGATTAGATATAGTCAATCTGGAAGGTTTAATAGGGACGAATTGTGCCATTTCATGCTTTAAATGAAAAAAATAATTATCTCTATCTTCTCCTTTCAATGTTTTAAAAAGCTCTGATCCATCAACAGATAATCGAAAAATTCCTTTCTCAAATTCATCTTCAGTTCCATCTGGTGGAATCTCGCCAACTGTAAAGCTTATGTCTTGGATGGGAATTGAAGTATTTTCCTTGGTCATTAATAAACTATTGTCAAAGTGCACAAGGTAATTACCATTAGCTTGATTCAATGTACTGGATAGAAGAGGTGAACAATGCAAAATTGTATGATATGCGCTTGTAGTGTCATGTTCTAAATATACAAATGGAGAATTTACTGGTGTTGTTTGTCGTAATAGAGTCTCATTGTTATTTAATAATTGATAAATGACAATATTTCCGGATCCTATTACTACATCTTCACTGGATATGGTTACATTTACTTCACCAAGATTATAGGGAACAGTTGTTCCATTTTTTGGATTAAATTCCATAATATTTGCATTAATATCGAAATCACTATGCGCTAAAAATAAAAGTGAGCTTAGTTGGAAAATAAAGAAATATTCAATCAATAATGAAAAAAGAAATACTTACTTTGTGATCCTTCAACATTGATAACAGTTGATTCCAATGACCAAAAATTAGAATTAGCAGGTGAGACCAAAGGTGCTATCAGAGTATCATTTGGTAACATTTTGAATAAACCACTAAATTGCATTCCTTCTGGAAAACCCCAATGAGTATAAGTTCTATTCGATTCATTGTAAATATAACCAGAAAAATGAGCAGTTTTTGGATCACTGGTATTAATTGTTATCACCATATAATTATCAGTATTGTTTCTAGACATTCCCATCACAGAATAAATACGTTCTTTTGTGTCTGTGTCATAAAAAGAATCATTTCCAAATGTTGCCAAAGGATTAGTTACACCTTCAGTTGAAAATGATAATTGCATCCATGAAAATTTATTTGATTTTTCAATTTCCAGAAAACACGCATCTTCACTCTGAGAAGAATTGCTGGTGCCAGCAACAATGTTGTCATGACACCCAATTAATCTAATTTCTTGAAGATCATCTTCAGATTTATATAAAGTGAATTTAGTCAAATTATTTTTTAGACTTGTTAAAGGTGGAATAATATAGGTTTCAACTTCGTATATCGTTCCATTGCCAATATTAGTGCTTAAGTTATAAGCAATTGTGATAGCATAAGCACCATTTTTTATCGGTAAAAGCTCAAAATCTTCTACGGTGAATTCATAGGTACTACTTTTCTCACTGTTTCCTGATCTTAAAAGTTTTGATTTTGTTGCATCTTTTCTATATATATTTATGCAGATTTGTAGGTTAGTATAGATTAGATCAATATTTAAATTTCAATAAAATTTTTTTGAAAAATTATAACTTACGAAAAATCAAACTCTCTCCAGCTGATGATTCCTTGTTCATCAATTACAACATGAAGAACCAAACCAGGATATCTGGTAACAGTTTTAGATTGGACACGTTTATTAAGAAGAAGAGGTTCTAATAGTTGTACATCACTTAAATTAATGTCACTGTGAATTGTTGTACAAATTATGCATGAGCTTTTATGCTTATTTATTACTTATTTGTTACGACTAAAAAATTTTTTTTACCTTTCATATACTCTACATTCAAAATAAAAT